AAATGATTCAAAAAAATTCTGCCTTTAACACAATAATTGATTTTGGAAAAAAAAATTGTTTCAAAATTATTTTTTAAATTTTTTTTTTCAAAAAAAATTTTTTTGTATATCGAAAATAATTCAGATTAAATTTAATTCTGACTAAAGTTCTAATAAGCTTTAAACAAATAATTTCAACTTTGCAATTCATTTTATATAATTCTTATAAATATTAGACAATGTTACAATATTTATAATATAATCTATCTGAAAACATTCAATATTCCTCGAACATTTCGTTACGGTACGGGAAGTTTCAGCAATTTGCCTTAAGGCACGATGCCATACACCCCACTAGTTTTATTCTCTATTTTATTCACAATTGTCCAATTAAGGACATTTAATAAATTTGGATAATTTACAATTGTCAACCGTACAGGAACATTGTACACTAAATTGACTTGTTAGAAAACAACTATATCTATTGATAATCTCGATTATTTACTTAACAAATAATTTCTTATAAATAATGACTAAGTTATTTCAATCTTCATCAGGAAAATTGATGACTTAAATCCAGTGGCGCTTTTCTTTTCAATCTACGTCGATAGTTCTCTATTATAAAGGAGTTTGCTAGTGAACATATTATGATCGAATCTTTATAAATAATTTTGAATTGCTAGTATTATATCATCTTTGCTGATTTCTAAACCATATCATTAAATTTTTTGTCAATTTGATTTTGTAAACAATCCGTCGCTGATCTGTACTAATTTTCATTCAGTTGTCTTAAGAGAGCGACCGCGCTGTAAGATGATCGCGTTATCTGATGAAAATATACAATACGTTAATATTTTGCTTAAATAAATTAACTAGCAAAAATTAAATTAATAATATTTAAAGCAAAAATGAAATTAATAATTAATGCTATGGTGCAAATATGTAATCAATTATTATATTTGTTGCGAATTGAGGTTATAAATATCAAAAAAATAATGCACGTGTGATTTATTATATGATGAAAGTAATTTTTTTAGATTTAGATCTATTCTTTATATTTATACAAACCATTATCAAAGTGCTCATGTCCATGGGGAATAATCCAGCCCTCATCATGAGAGGTCTTTGAGCGCGCAGTATCATCATTTGAATCGCCCGCTTACAACGCGGTTCCGTATCAAGCCAATTCGATTCGTACGCAGCCTCGGAAAGCTTAGTGCTCTTTAGTAATAATATAGTTAATAATAGTAGTGGATTTATATGAACAATGCATTTGAACATTACCTCAATTACTATATCGTTGGCATGCCAATAGTACATGAAGAAAATTAGAAAAATTGTTCCCACATATCCCCAAGTTATGAATAGCTCTAAGCCGAATGGTATCTGTAATATGTACTCGATAATGTTATAAATTATTAAGTAAATATTTTCCTACATGGAAGGTATGTTTGACGTTTTCAACTCTTTGTAGTAGAAGTTTTGTTTTCGCCAGAAAATCTTATTTGCTAATTTTGTTGTCTTGGTATTTCAAGTCATGTTGATAAAACTTATTAAGAACTCGCGCTGTTCAGTTTCAAGTGACGATCTGCTTTTTTATAATTAGCAGATAAATGCAAAAAAATTGTACGTGTTTTAGCCAAAAATTCTGATTTGATTTTGAAGTTGCAAATAGCTGATACAGTTAGGAATTGTAAAATGGAAATGTTGCTGTTTTACGAAATGTAAAAAAAATAATGGCAATAACATGATTTTGAAATCTGGACTTCAGAAAACAGTATTAACCTTTGTCAAATTCAATAATAAATTTTTGAAATTTATTTTGAATGTTGGTTATCAAAATCTTTATTCGTTTTTGATACGAAGTTGTCAATCAAATATTAAAACAAAATAATGTGGTGAAATAATTAAGTAATTGTTAAAATTAAAATATCTCTCTTACGTGTGTTGGCAATATATAAACCAGATTTATCTAATGTTTTATGAATAATAATAGTTCAAAAATTAATGTGTTACCAAAGACATAGTGAATATTTCTCCACATAAAATGATTGCAACAATTATGGAGTCCATGTTCATTGGAATTTTTATTATGTAACTGATGTTCTCCATCCACCTTTAAACAAAAGTTTGAATTTTATTTAGTTCGAATAAAATTCCATAATTGAAAATTTTGCACTCATACTTGATTATTTGCAAATGCTCTTCTATTAAATGGATTATGGTTTTATAATGATTTCCGTCGATTGTTAATTCTCGAAAGTGTTTAACTTTATAATTATGAATTTCAATTATGCACTGGATGAATGATAAAAACGAAATAATTAGTGTGTTCCAAATTGGTAGCAATGGACCCGCTAACAATAGCATAAGTTCTAGTATCACAGAAATAAATATTGTGTTTTCTTCAACTGGAACATAGGGAATGTAAAAAGCTACGAATGAAACATGAATTTCTTCTCCAGGCCTATTGAAAAGTTAAATTTGTTGCAATTAATAAATCCATGTAACATTCTGATCGAAACATTTGAAGGAATTAATTAAGTTACTTACTTTGCGAATACAAACAGTGCAAATATCATGTAAATATTAAACATAACAGCAGTAACAGCTGTAGAGATTATTACTGCTTTAGTTATTACATTACTTTTTCTGACGAATTTACTTAAAATAAGTTGAATTTCATAATTGCCACTTTCTTGAATATTTTTTATTGTGATATGTAGATAATTTAGTATTTCAGAATATTTATTGTGGTAAATTATCATTGTCACTGTTTTCACGATTATTGAACTATACATGAATACTGAACCACCTCTCGTCGATAATCGTAATACATTGTTCCGATTCTCATAAATATATAAATATTGAGTTACATTAAATAATAGTATTAATAATAAAATTAAGTATCCTCTTAATGTATGCAATCGTTGAAATTTAGAATCTTTGTAATAAATCAACCCCATCAAATTTAAAACTGAAATTTAATAAATAATATTAATATTTATATATTATTTGAAATAATTAATATATTTTTTCTTTGCCTTGTAAATGAATCTTGACTATTGCGTTATCCTTCACTTGTGGGTCCATTGAACTAGGATTTTTGGAGTTAGTATAATATATGTATTTGTAATTTTATTAATAATAGGTATAAAAATTAAATTTAGACAAAAAAAATGTAAATGTAAATGTCACCGATTCTAACAGTTAAATATTTGTTTGAATATCGCGAGAGTTATATGGTGACCCTTCTTTAATCTTCGAAAGGACTATAAATGCCCCCTAAACAATTTTACATTGCCGTTAGATTGCAGTTATATAACATCTGTTACCTGTTACATTGCGGCAACCTTATCAAATGCATTGCCTGAAGGTAACTATTTCCGCATCAAGTGCGTTACAATGTGCGTTACATTGTGAAGTTGCGGTAACTTACGGTAACATACAAATGCAATATAGATATGCGTTACATTGTGAAGTTGCGGTAACTTACGGTAATGTACCTATGCGATATGAATCAGCACTTTTTGCAATGCTTTTAATTTATGCGAAAATAAGTGATTTTCTATAAAAAAAAAGATTTACTCATATTTCATTGTATTTATTATTTAAAATTAATATTTTACAATAAACAAAGTAGCAACAAATATTTTATACTAAATAGAACAGTAACAAATATTTCAAAGTAAACAAAATAGCAACAAATATTTTATAACAAACAAATAGCAACAAATATTTTGTACTAAACAAAACAGTAACAAATATTTTATAACAAACAAATAGCAACAAATATTTTGAACTAAACAAAACAGTAATAAGTATTTTATAACAAACCAATAGCAACAAATATTTGTTGCTATTGTTTGTTATAAAATATTTTGTACTAAACAAAACAGTTTTTATAACAAACAAATAGCAACAAATATTTTGAACTAAACAAAACAGTAATAAGTATTATATAACAAACAAATAGCAACAAATATTTGTTGCTATTGTTTGTTATAAAATATTTTGTACTAAACAAAACAGTAACAAATATTTTATAAGAAACAAATAGCAACAAATATTTTTAACTAAACAAAACAGTAATAAGTATTTTATAACAAACAAATAGCAACAAATATCTGTTGCTATTGTTTGTTATAAAATATTTTGTACTAAACAAAACAGTTTTTATAACAAACAAATAGCAACAAATATTTTGAACTAAACAAAACAGTAATAAGTATTTTATAACAAACAAATAGCAACAAATATTTGTTGCTATTGTTTGTTATAAAATATTTTGTACTAAACAAAACAGTAATAAGTATTTTATAACAAACAAATAGCAACAAATATTTGGTGCTATTGCTTGTTATAAAATATTTTGTACTAAACAAAACAGTAACAAATATTTTATAACAAACTAATAGCAACAAATATTTTACACTAAACAGAACAGTAATAAGTATTTTATACTAAACAAAATAGCAACAAATATTTTATACTAAACAGAACAGTAACAATATTTATAAAGCAATAACAAACCTCATTACAAGACAGTAATAAAAAAAACAATATAATAAACAATACAGCAACAAATATTTTAGACGATACATAAAATTTATATCAATTACATTTATTTTTCGTTATATACACAATGAAAAACAAAATAGTAACCTATTAAACGAAAAAAATAACATAATAAACTAGAATATTTTAAATGTTGAAAATAACAGTATTAAATATGTTATAATAAACAGTAACAAATATTTTTCGAAAACAATAACAAAAATATAAAATTTATATTCATTACAATTATTAATTTCATATTTTCAAATGAAACACAAATTAAATATAAAACTATTTTTAAATGATATTAATTAATAAAAGATGGAAATAAAAATATCTAGTTTTGGTCCAACTATTAAAGCTAATCAAGCTATCTCGACACACCAATATACAGAAACTTTATCACATAATTCCAAATTAGGATGACAATTTTCAAATACAATTATATTTTTTTGCAGACAAACAACATAACTAATAGAATTATAGTTGAGCATTATTAAGCTTTGATATTTTTTTTTATCGAGATACTTCCAACATCTTCATTCTCAATATTCACAATTTGTCTTAATTCCATTGTAGCCCATTCAGTATGTATTATTCCACCTTAAAAACAAATAAGAAAGGTTAAAACAGAATGTATAATAGTAATTAGTTAACAAGAACTATGATATATACCTTTCATTTATTCCTTGTTTTGCTGTTAAAAGCCTCTCGATATTCTTTCATATTAATCACATATGTTATTCGAGGCAATTTAGGATTCAAACCGAGACTTAGAATCCAATCCTAAAAATAAATTATTACAATAATAAAATATAAACCTCAAAAGCCATTAGAAATTTAAACAGTTATTTACCTTTAGTATCTTGTAGCATTGTCGAAAATTAAATTTTCATATCCAAATAATAAGCTCTAGTTTTTTTGAGACATCTCCAAACGCGGGCCTTATAAAAATAATTAGGCTTTTAGCACAGTAACCAACAAATAAATTATACTTACCCTTCATAATATTATATATCAAACAGCACTTCTTAAAATTCATTTTGAGGTTATTTCTTATACTCTTTCGATTTCGACGTAGCTGAACAAATAACACATAAGCAGATATGTAAAGTTTACGCCATATATACTATATATTTTTGCATTTTTAGTTATACACGTAGAACTCAATATTACAAAATATTTAAAATAAAACAAGACAAAACAACTCAACAAAACAACCCCGCATATGACACAGTATAAAATGGCGTTCAGGCGACAGGCTGCAATGCAATGCACTCTGGGAAACCTGACGCCTGAGTCTGAGTCCCTCTGCCGAAAAAGGAAGACAACCGTTAAACGTTTAAAACGTTTAATCGAATTCAAAAATTTTAATATACTTTTTGAAATTTTTGTAAAAACTTCTAAGTTTTTAAATTTTTTGAAAAAATTAGTTTGTTTTAAGTAATTGAAGAAGTTAAAATTCTGTTTTTGTAAAAGAAATGCAATTTATTTCATTTAAAATTTTAAAATTTTTACTGTAACTTCCCGTAGTAAGTTATAGTAGTCGCAAAAAAATCGAGAATGAAAATTTTATCGACGATTTCGGGAACAACATTCGATTCGTATTGATAAAGAGGCGTGCTGATTAGTGTTTGGCAGAGGCAGGTCTAGCCGTTCCGAAGATACGGGGCAAAAAGTTCCAAAATCGGTAACCCAGTTTTTAAGAGAACGGAGCGTCCGAATTTAATAATTCAAAAACCATTATTAAATTTTTGGGAAGGCAGCTCTAGCGGTTACAGAGATCTAGTAAAAAAAATAAAAAAAAAAATTCCATTAGGCGGTCGTGCATGATTATTATCAGATATTTTATTTATTTATTTATTTATTTATTTATTATACGCCAATCGGCTATGGAGATTTTAATAATATGTATCAATTTTGTTTACGTTTGCGTAACGTTTTTATGGGTTCCGTAAAATCGTTTGTTTGTTTAACAGCGACGCGGCGCTTACGCGCTTCGATATTTCATCTCATCAAAAACATTTTTCTTCAAAAGTTTTGATGAATATTGATATAATATATATATATATATATATATATATATATATATATATATATATATATATATATCCGTGCTCTATAACTGATACTACAGAATTTAAAAATTAGATCAATCGATTTTTCATTAAAAAAGTTGTGAAAAATATTTTCTAACAAAACATTGCACATTTATTACATTAGGTAACAAATGTATATAACTTTGTAACTCCCGATATACATTGCGCGTATATTGCACTTAGTTAACATTTGTTATGTAACTTTGCAACTATCGATAAACATTGCGCGTACATTACACTTAGTTAACATTTGTTATATAACTTTGCAACTATCGATATACATTGCGCGTACATTACACTTAGTTAACATTTGTTATATAACTTTGCAACTAAAAGTTACATTGCGCGTACATTACACTTAGTTAACATTTGTTATATAACTTTGCAACTAAAAGTTACATTGCGCTTATATTACATTTAGTTAACATTTGTTATATAACTTTGTAACTAACAAGTTTCATTACGGCAACATGTAGTGTTTACTGGGTGATATTTAAGAACCACCAGCTATCATATAAAAAATAATGTATACTTTTCCGTAGTAAATTTATATAATATATACGGAAATATTCAGTGCTATCGAATATTACTCTAAAACAGTACTTAAACAACCAGAACATTTCATTATACTACTAAAAAATTAAATAAAGATAATCGATAAATTGGCATAAAAAATGCTTTGATTTTTTATTCATGATATCACAAAGAATTGACATAATAAAGTATGTCATTCGTATCCACATACATTTGATGATTACATTCTTACAAATTCTTTAACATACCTATACTATTTGCATTTATAAAATCAAATTAAACTAGTCGGGTGTATGGCATTGTGCCTTAAGGCAAGTTGCTGGAACTTCCCGTACCGTAACGAATGGTCGAGGAATACTGAATGTTTTCAAATAGATTATTATTAATATTGTAGCATTGTCTAATATTTATAAGAATTATATAAACTGAATTGCAAAGTTGAAATTATTTGTTTAAAGTATATTAGAACTATAGTTAGAATTAAAAATAAAATCTGAATTATTTTCGATATACAAAAAATTTTTTTTTTGAAAAAAAAAGTTGAAACAAGAATTTTTTTTTTCCAAAATCAATTATTTTGTTCATAAAGACAAGCAGAAAGTTCTTTGAATCATTTAAATCGCACGCTTAGTTCTTTCAAAAACTGCCATTTTTTTACACATTTAGCTCCGTATCTTCGAAATGGCTGGGCCTGCCTCTGCCAAAAACTAATAAACTTCTCTCATCATTACTAATTGAATGTTTTTTTAGATCATTCAAATCGGGTGCTCCGTTCTCTCAAAAACTCGATTTCTATTTTCTGCACTCTTTGCTCTTTATCTCCGTAACTGCTGGACCTGCCTTTGCCAAAAACTAATCAGTTCATGTCCCTATCAATAGGAATCGAATGTTTTTTGAACCATTCAAATCGGTTGATCCGTACGCCTGAAAACGTGGACGAAAAATTGTATCCATACATACACACACACACACATCCATTTTTTCTGAAGTATGCGAAAATGTTCAGAAACCTTCAAAACGTCGAGAAATGTAAAAAATTTCAATTTCGAATTTCGGCCCATTACAATAACTTACCCTGAAGTTAATATTCAATTTGTTTATCAATTCACCATATTATTGTCTATGTATATATTTATATAAATTTTCTGAGATCGGAACAAATACGCGTCTTAAGCGAGAATGTGTATTATGCGCGGTAGAAAAATAACGTGTCTACCACTAATTATTAGGTTTTATATTCTGATGTTGGTGTATGTAGGTATTAAATTAAATATTTATGAAATACGTTAAATACGTAGGGTAATTATAATTATCATTAATATTACTACTTAGAGAATTAGCCCAGTATGGGACAGTCGTTTCTATTTACTTGCTTTAACATTACATTAAGCACATTTTTTCTTGAATACATTGGATTATCTGACTACAATTTTAAACACAAATTTAAAATTATTAAAGCATTTGTAGCTGGTGATGACTTTAGTCAATATTTCTCAAGCTTTTGTCTCTATGGAAAACTTTAGAGGTTTTTATTAATTTTTGCGTACGTATGTTGGATCATCATTACCCACAGCCCCAGTGTAATTGATAAAAATTGCATTCAAATAGTTTTTCTAATTTATCAAAATTTCCTAAATTTTGTTTTTATTTCTTTGTCTATCCCCACCTATATTTTTCTTTAATTTTTTTACATTCATATATTTATTTTACTCTTAAAAAAGCTAAAAAAATTGCAATTAGCAAATGGTATATAAAACTCATCAGCCAACAGGTTGATAGGCTCTTTGTGAATTTTTACCGAAGATTTTCAATAACTTGTTTTTTTGCTTATATACATACAAATCGTATTAAGCGTGAGACATATGTTTAAAATTGCAGAGACTGTCGTAAAGTGGTCTATATTTTCAAAAGTCGTATTAAGCATGATCATCTTAAAGAAATTATTTAATTAGAAACATGATCACCAAAATAGAAATGGAAAACCGAGCCAAATTTGCCTTATAAAAAATTAGAGGGAAACAAATGTTGCCTCAGGGTCAAGTTCTGGAAAATAATTTCTTGGAAAAAAGTTGTATTCAGGGAAAGGGATCCAATTTTTTAAATAAATTTTCATACGTCAATTATAAAAAAATATACATTTATATGTAATTACGTAAATTATATATATATATATATATATATATATAAGATTTAGATTTTTTTGTTCGACGTTGAGACATTCTTGAATGTTAATATTTGCAGCCAATCGTCGAAATAAAAGATCAATAAATAATGACTATTTATTTATACGTTTCGACACGGTATGTGTGTCATATAACTCATTGTAACACATTATTTTATAATTGACAAATAGAACATATTATGAACAGATCTTCAATTTTTAGTACCTTGTGATCTTTGTCTTTGGTTGAATTTTTTGCTGATTTCTAAACCATGTCAATAAATTCGTCATTTTAATTTTGTAAACAATCCATGACCATTTGTGATCAGTACTAATTTTCATTCAGTTGTCTTAAGATTGCGGCAGCACTATAAGACAGTCGTATTATCTAATCAAAACATTTAAAAAAAATCAGTAAATATTATACAATTCTGATTTGTCCATTCTATTTTGTCTTAATATTAGAGTATATTAGTATCTCAGTCAAAGAAAAAAATATTCTACTTGTAGCGTTTTGTAGTGGGTGATCATCAGTGATCACGATTAATTTATGCAAGAAAAGAGTGCTGATGTGTGATTCATTACGTTTTTCTATTAAACAGTGTGTTTTCATTAAACACACAATGTTTTTTTACGTTTATATACAAACCATTAGTAAAGTGCTCATGTTCATGGGGAATAATCCAGCGCTCATTATGAGCGGTTTTTGAGCGCGCAATATCATCAGTTGAATCGCTCGCTTACAACGCGTTTCCGTATCAAGCCAATTGGATTCGTACGCAGCTTCAGAAAGTTTCGTGCTCTTTTTATTAAATATATTACTATTATTTTAAAAAGTAGTAGTAATTTTATATGAATAATTCAATCAAACTTTACCTCAATTATTATATCATTCGCATGCCAATAATACATGAAGAAAATGGTGAAAATCGTTCCCACATATCCCCAAGTTATGAACAGCTCTAAGCCAAATGGTATCTGAAATAGGCATTTTGATAGAAAAATAATCAAAAGTACGTTGTGCAAACCATCATCTCATGTTTAAGAATTAGTGCATTACCAAAGACATAGTGAATACTTCACCGCACAATATAAGTGCAACAATCAAAAAATCCATGTTCATTGGTATCTTTATGATGTAACTGATGATC